GCTTTTCTGACTGCTGGATTATTTTGTGCACTCTTGATTCTCTGACTCACAGCCAGAATCAAAAGTCAGATGCAATCCAGGGAGCTATAATTATAAAATAGTCACCTGGAAGATAGCCTTCCTTAACATACTCTGAGATCTGCCATGGCCAAGGGCAACTTCAACTGTCCCTCTCTCCTCCCAAGCTTGCATGGACATGCTCTCCACCAGAAGCTTGTGTCCTCTGCTGCAGGCTACATGTCCTATGCCTGCTCTGGAGTGTTCTACCAACACTGCTGAGCTGGAGATTTTTCTTGCTATCAAGGATTCCTTACTAGGAACCCAGGCCCAAGGATGGTCATCATAACTATGCATTTCGTCAGATGTGTCAAATCTACTATGTTATCCTAGATGAGAGGAGATAGATCTTCTCCAACCTTGACTATAAGTAACTCTGGAGCATGATCCTGACCCACACAGATAAGTGGGTACAACAGAGCCCTGCAGTGGTGCCAGGCTGCCTCTTTCTTTGATGGGAGGTGATCCAGTTCAACCCATACAGCACATAGGGCTAGAAGGTCAAAAGTCAACTGCAGGAGCTGGAGAGAGAGCTAAAAGCAAAAGAGCATTTGGTGCTCTCCCACGAGAGTATAACAACCAGTTATAATGGGATCTGTTTCCCTCTTCTGTCTTCTTCAGGAACTGCAGTCATGTCTAGCACAGATATACAATAAGAAAAATACATATTCACATAAAGTAAAAATAAATAAATCTAAAAAAAAGTACACCAAATGCATGGGCAAGGCCAACAGCATCTACAAAGAGGTATTTCCCAAAGTGACTTGGAAGTTCCTTATCTCTGTTGTGTGGTTATTAATGATGATGCATTGCAAAAATAAACAGAGTAAGATAGCTCTGGGTTTCCTGATTTCTTTTAGACTCTCCTAATGAATGGTTTTATTTCCTGAGAGTCTATAGAGGAGTAAAGGTGCATTTCTCAATAGTTCAGTCCTTATGAACAATTCATGAAAGTATGTCTATAGAGTAACATATTTTAGGGATAGCTAAATGCATAACAGCAATGATACAGTATGGATACTGAGTCCACCATAAAGTGTGTATCCAGGGAGTAAACATGGCAATCCTTACCCATGACACCAATCCTCTGTGTCACCCTGGAGAGCAGGAGGAGATTATGTAGTGCAGGCTGCCTGGAAATTGCAGAGATCCATCTCTAAGAGTGAGAACTAGGGTTACAGGAGTATGACAGCACACACCACAAAACAAACTGGTGCAGGGGTGAAAAGTTTGAAATTACTTTTTATTTTAAACATGAAGAATATATTTTTAAAGGGGGCTTTAAATGGGTAATAAACAACGGTAGCCTTAGCAAATTTTGAAAATCAATAACAAGAACAAATAACAACAAAATAACAAATCCATAAACAAAACAATTAAGATACAGAACCTAAACCAAAAATCAAACACAAAATTAAGCTATGCAGAATTCTCTCACGGCAGACTGAGCAGCACAGACCTGGAGCCTGTGACTGGCCTTGGACAGATGGTAGGTAGCAAGGGAGTCAA